TTACTGACCAGGAAGTTACTAAATTGAAAATAAAGAAGAAAGTTGAGACTAGCTTAACATTTTTTTTAAAAAAATGCAATTATGAATGAAAGCACATTACTTGTAGTTTCTAATATCAGACAAAACAGCCCAAGGACTCTGACAGATAGAAACCTATCAGGACCAAGGAGGGTCTTGATGCATCTATAAGAACTTCCCATACAGTGTACAATTTTTTTTCTTTTTTTTTAAAGATTTTATTTATTTATTCGACAGAGTTACAGAGAGAGAGAGACAGAGAGAAAGGTCTTCTTTCCGTTGGTTCACTCCCCAAATGGCCGCTACAGCCAGTGCTGCACCAATCCGAAGCCAGGAGCCAGGTGCTTCTTCCTGGTCTCCCCTGCGGGTGCAGGCGCCCAAACACTTGGGCCATCCTCCACTGACCTCCCGGGCCACAGCAGAGAGCTGGACTAGGAGAGGAGCAACCGGGTCTAGAACCCAGCGCCCATATGGGATGCCGGCACCACAGGCAGAGGATTAACAAAGTGAGCCACGGCACCGGCCCACAGTGTACAATTTTCAAACTGTTTTTATAAATATTAAGAACAATTTACCTATATTAATTTAACCTAGGGAAGGCAGAGCATCCCTTCTGATTTGACAAGTCTTCCTATGCAATTCATGAATACTAACATGTCAAAGAAACCTAATTCTTACTAGTACCTTACTTTTTCCAAGTGAACAAATCCTTTGTGATTTTCCATGGGCCCTCTGAGACTTGATTAAGATAGGACGAAGCATTAATAAAAAAAACAATATTTGACTCTCTATTTTACCAAAGGGATGTTAAAAGTTTTCCACAGTAAACATTGGAAGTAACATGATTGTGAAAAACCTCAGTTCTTTCCTAAGCCAGAAGACTTTGCTTTCTTAAATAATCAAGGACACAGCAAAGTCGACATAAGGCATAGAAGATACTCTGGTAAGACACAGGCTCTTTGTTATCTAGAAAGATTACTCAGAAGATAAATCAAAATCTTTACAACCTGTCATCAAGAACAGACCAATAATTCAAACACTTTTGTCATTTTACCAGAGAAAACCAAATTCTGGTTTTGTATCAGTGTATTTGATAACAAAGTTCTTTTTGAAAACCTTTTGAATAAGATTCAAACCTTAACTTTGATCTCAAGAAATAAAATTTGCTTTTGTGAACATTCTACAACTTTCTGTCTCCATATACATCCTTTATGGTACAACTTCTCTAAGTGGCAAAAAAGGACACCTTTGGGGCAAGCATTTAGCCTGGCTATTAGAATGTCTACATCTCATATCAAAGGGCCTGGATTCAAGTTCTAGCTCCATCCCCAATTCCAGCTTCCTATTAATGCATACCCTGGGAGACAGCAGGTAATTTCTCAAGTACTTGGATCCTTTGCCATTCGTGCAGGAGACCTAGGTTGCATTCCTGGCTCCTGGCTTTAGCCTGCCCCAGCCTGGTCATTGCACATCATTTGGGAAGTGAACCAGTGACTGGGAGATCTGTCTGTCTCTGTGCCTCGTAAAAAATAAATTTTGAAAACAATACCTTCATTAACATATATATATATACATATATCTATATAGAGAAGGAGAAATATATCTGTGGGATGTGAAAATAGGAAGCAAAAGCATGTAACCCAAAATTCTGTGTAGTAATTAATGTTTCAGTATTCTCTTATAAATTATCTAGCTAACTAATGAATATTCATCTATTAATTCAATTTTGTATCAGCCCGAAGTTTTCAGTTACCTAACGATCTTAAAAGTTGTCATTAAGCTGATGTACTTACTACAAGACATAACTATGGTTGAAATCAAGTTTGTCAGAATAATGACTCAATCTGGTTAAACAAATTTACATTTTTCATAATCTTAAACATTTTAGAAGTAATATTAGCACATGCAATCAGTAAAGCTTTATACATTTAGGAAGAAACTGTCCAAGGACAATAAAAATCTACCTGTATATCACACCCCTCACTGGTAAATCAGAAAAGATGTAGTTGGTTTTAATAAATTAAAATTACTGAATTAACCTTATCTGCCAAAGATTTACCTAAAGTATGTGAACTTGAAATCTTAAAACATTTGGGTATTGGCCGGCGCCGCGGCTCACTAGGCTAATCCTCCTCCTGTGGCGCCGGCACACCGGGTTCTAGTCCCTGTCAAGGTGCCAGATTCTGTCCCAGTTGCTCCTCTTCCAGTCCAGCTCTCTGCTGCGGCCCAGGAGTGCAGTGGAGGATGGCCCAAGTACTTGGGCCCTGCACCTGCATGGGAGACCAGGAGAAGCACCTGGCTCCTGGCTTCGGATCAGCATGGTGCAGTGGCTGCAGTGCGCTGGCCGCAGCGGCCACTGAGGGGTGAACCAACGGCAAAGGAAGACCTTTCTCTCTCTCTCTCTCTCTCTCTCTCTCACTGTCCACTCTGCCTGTCAAAAAATAAAAATAAACATTTGGATATGTTTTATAGGCATACTTTTTTTAGCACCTTGAAAATCTTGAAAGTTCAATTTCTAGGAATTTTAGGAATATTTTGTTTATCTAAGTGCTTACTTATTTCTGTAAGCCAATGAGAAGAGAGCTCCTTTATTTAAGAGATTTTATGATCTAAAATCCCATCCAGAGGTGAAAATATCATTCAGTCACACAATGATACATTAAAGATTTTCTGAATATAGACATTATCATCATCATTACCCAGGCTACTGACATAAGGAGGACGTTCATTAGGAACATGTTAAAGGAAAGGAAGGGGACCAGTAGTTTTATAGAAGCAGATAAACAAGAGAATCATCCCAAAGTCGTATGGTAGTCATGAGGAAAGATGAGGATGAGTCTGATCTTGGAATGTGCTGGAGCAATGTAGTCCTTTGTGGTTAACCATTTCTGGGAACCTAAAAGGGTAAGGAGTTTCTTTAACCAACACTGCTTTCCAGAAGCAGAGTTCAGATCAAGTTCAATATTGTCAATGAGATGAGCCTACTTTGTCAATTTTGTCTATAAAATTCCTCTTTTTTCTCCTTCATATGCCACATTATTTCTGGTTGCCTTTTTTGTTTTTCATTTTTCTGTACTTATGACTTGTCTTTCCTAACTTAAATGTAGGTTCACTGAGGGAAGGAACTATATCTTGTATTGATTTGTATTCCTCCTCCTCCCCATCTCCCTTCTCGTTTTGCCTAGTACTTAATGTTCTGTCCCATCTATCCAAAGGTTATTGATGTTCAGTAGGAGGACAGATTATCTCTTGCTTGATGTGCTAAGACAGCAGATTTATAAAATCTAATCTTAACAAAATTGGAAAATAGCATTTGCCTCCAAGAATTTTAAAAGACACATATTCTTACTTAGAGAGAATTCATGGATGGACAAATCCTTTTCTTTAATTGGTTTCTTCCCATTTGCATACCTAAGGCCAAGCTCTTCTTTGGATAGATGATTGCTGAGTTCACCTTGTTGATGCAAAGCTGATGTCTAATGACATTTTCACCAACTTCCTGCCCACCAATGTACCTCTCTCATTGATTCAGTCTGTGAACCAGGCTATTGCAGAGAATATAAGTTGTTCTAATGGAAGAAATTTCACCAAGAAGTTTATTAATTGTATAAGCACTAGAAAGTTTTATAGTCTCATAGTAGCAAAGAGACCATTTTAAATGTTGCTCATGCCTAGAATTCTGTTTCAAAGAAAATCTCAGAGTGAACTTAGGAAAAAATGGGCTAGATATTTGGAGTGTCTGTGGAAGCAAAAGGAACTGAAGCATTTATAATGAAGCCTTAAAATAAATTATAAAACATTCTTGATGAAAAAGAATGTGCTTTTATATCTAATAAGCAAGGCTTAATGGAAATGTAATATAAGAGTGGGTTAATGTTGACAAGAGGTTAAAGTGACACAGTATCACCAATAGAAAAAAAAAGTTTACAGACACCAGTGAAGTCCATAAAAACAAATTTTGTGAAGGAAACAAAATAGAAAAGGCTCCTTCAGGGACTAGCATTGTGACACAGCAAGTTAAGCCACTTCTTGCCATGCCAGCATCCAACACCAGAGCACCAGTTTCAAGTATGGCTATGCCGCTTCTGATCCAGCTTCTTGCTAATGCAACTAGGAAGGCAGTGGATGATGGCCCAAGTGCTTGGGCCCCTGCCACCCATGTAGGAGACCAGGATGGAGTTCCTGCTCCTGGCTTCAAACTGGCCTGAACCTGGCTGTTGCAACCATTTGGGGAATGAACCAGTATGATGGAAGATCTCTTTCTTTCACTCTCTCTTTCACTCTCTCTCTCTCTGTCTCTCTTTCTCCCTCTCTCCCTCTCTCTCTTTCAAATAAATAATCTTAAAAAATAAGAAAAGGCTGCTTTACTCTGCACTCTAATAATTACATTTACAGAAAGGCAACCACATTATGCTGCCTTGGAGGTTATGCATTTGTAAATTCTATACTCAGCTTTTATGAGTAACAAGTGTGGAAACTCATTTGAAAACAAAAACAAACAAAAAACTTCTAGGTTGTGCCACAGGATCGGGACAGAGAGTTCAGGCTCCAACATCTTTCGACTGGGCTGAGTAAGATTGTCGTTAAGGCCTTTCCGGAGTCTAGCTTTCTTAAAGTCTTATAAGTGATAATCTGTGTTCGTCATGATGACCCCAAAGTACCACCCATTTTTGCAAGTGATTCCTGAATCATCAGAGTAAGATTCTGTCTTGCTCAAAACAGTTAAAATATTCTAATGCTTTGAAAATGTGGGATATTGAATGGAAAATGTTACCGATCAACCTGAATATTTACTTTACCAAAACACTTCATTCGTTGATCATTCTGAGTCATTTAATATGGAATCTTTGTAGGTAGATTTTTATTTTTCTTAAAAGAATGGGGAATTTTAAAGACTAGATCTCAAGGGTTAGATCCTTGGCTGTAAATACTCCCTTGGATTGCTTTCTGGCTGTTGGCTGTAGCAACTTGTTTTCTTGCAGAGATGAAGCATCTGGTTTTTGTTATCTCAATGATGCTGTCCTGGGAATATTACGATTGCGACGGAAATTTGACCGTATTCTCTATGTGGATTTGGATCTGCACCATGGAGATGGTAAGCCCTCCAGTTTCAAAGATGCTTCACTACTAGGACAGCCGGTTTTGATAATTAAAGCTACTTCTAGGCAACTGGTACAAGGAGAAGTGCCTATTGCAGTTGAAATTTTCTTAATTGAAGATTCTTTAAGTAGATAATACAGAGATTCCTCTAACTGATGCAATTTGTGCCATGCTGCACAAGCCGGCTCCTACCATTTTCCCACTTCTTCTCTTATAGTAAAGCATTCCAGTAGAGAATATTAAGAGGTGGAACTCTTACCTATATTTCCTGAGCTCGGGAAGCTCCCCCAGGTCATTTCCATAGGTTCTAAGAGAAATTTGTAGTTAGAACTGACAGTCTTGTCTCTTCTCATTGATTCTTCTCCCAAGATAGTAAGGGAATATGAAGAACTAACATTTTGAATTTTTAATCAATAGGCTACCAACTCATGTAGTAATTAGAATCTGTGCCACTTTCTCTGTATTGCTAGAATATTTGATCCTACACAAACCCAGGGCATTTTCCCTAACTTTACAAAACAGAATCTCTCAACACTTTGTCTTAACCCATTAATCCCCTCGTAGTGGACTCCACTGAAAGAATTTATCTAACCCTCCTATATAGTTTCCATCTAGAACATAGAACTCCCTTCACTGTTGTCACATTCTGTTTCTTTAAGAAATCCTATCTGTGGCCGGCGCCGCGGCTCACTAGGCTAATCCTCCGCCTTGCGGCGCCGAAACACCGGGTTCTAGTCCCGGTCGGGGCGCCAGATTCTGTCCCGGTTGCCCCTCTTCCAGGCCAGCTCTCTGCTGTGGCCCGGGAGTGCAGTGGAGGATGACCCAAGTGCATGGGCCCTGCACCCCATGGGAGACCAGGAGAAGCACCTGGCTCCTGCCATCGGATCAGCACAGTGCGCTGGCCGCGGCGGCCATTGGAGGGTGAACCAACGGCAAAGGAAGACCTTTCTCTCTGTCTCTCTCTCTCTCTCTCACTGTCCACTCTGCCTGTCAAAAAAAAAAAAAAAAGAAATCCTATCTGTGATACATAGTATTTCTATTTATTTAGTCAGTAAATTATTACTTAAGGATATCTCTCCTCCTTGTCTAAGTCAGTAATAGCTGCTTCCCTGTTTGTAGGATTTTTTTTTTAAGGCAAACTAACATAATCAAGGCATAACCAAGGAAAAGAATAGTATCTTTCTGAGGGTAGGGTTAGTTCTGCTACCAAAACAGAAAAAGAAGAAAGAAATTTTGGGAAGAACCCTCTCAGGGAGCTTCACTTACATGGACACTACCATGAAATGGTGACATAAAATTAAAGGGAACATAGAGAAGACAGGATGGTTAAAACAGCCAACAATACAACTTTGATAACCGTCTTCTCTAAATTTCTGAATACTCTGCCAGTTCTGAATACATCTTGCTCAGAGCTCTTTATTGCCTAAAACAGGGGGTGGTATTTGACTTATGGCTTATTTTTGTATAGCTAGCGAGCTAAGAATGGCTTTTATATTTCTGAATGGTTGTAAAGGGTTCTATTTCTAAAAGGTTGTGTGTGTGTGTGTGTGTGTGTGTGTAATCTTATATCTTATACATACATACACATATGCAATAGAGACTCTAATTAGTTTGGAAAGCCTAAGATGTAGCTAGTTTGCTGATCTCTGGCCTAGAGCAATGGTCTCAAACTTGAATGTGCATCAGGATGACCTTAGAAAGTTATTTTCAAATGAACATTGCTGGGCCACACCCTCCAGATATTCAGATCTGGTAGATCAGGTATGGAACCAGTGGTTCTACATTTTAGAAACACCTCAGTTTTTCTGCAGGCTATACTTTGAAAAACAAGTGGTCTTCACCATCCTAGGTTCTAGCCCCCACCACCATGGCTGGAAGCCAGGTGACCCCATGGCCCAACCACCGGTGTTAGCTCCACACCCACCCTAATGGGATTCACTGCTCCTACTTCCCTGCCCAATCCCCAGCAAAGGGGATTAACAGGACCTGTTCCTGAATACGTGGCTCTCTATTTCTCTCTTTCCCTCTTTCCCCCTCTCTCTCTTGACTCTTACGCTCTCCTTCTCCCTCTTTTCCTTCTTCGCCCCTTCCCTCCAGTCTGTCCGGTTTCCCCCAATAAACTCTTTCCCTTAAAAAAAAAAAAGAAAAGAAAAAAAGAGGGGTGGGCACTGTGGCGTAACAGGTAAAACCGCCACCTGAAGCGCCGGCATCCCATATGGGCACCGGTTCTAGTCCCAGCTGCTCTACTTCCGATCCAGCTCTCTGCTGTGGCCTGGGAAAGCAGTAGAAGATGGCCCACGTCCTTGGACCCCTGCACCCACATGGGAGACTTGGAGGAAACTCCTAGCTCCTGGCTTCGGATCTGCGCCGCTCCGGCCATTGCTGCCAATTGGGGAGTGAACCAGTGAATGGAAGACCTCTCTCTCTGCCTCTCCTTCTCTCTCTGGGTAGCTCTGACTTTCAAATAAATAAATAAATCTTAAAAAAAAAAAAAAAACCAGTGGTCTTCAAGGTGAATTCTTCTCTCCTTTTACCCTTTCTAGGCCTATCTCAAACAAGCCTATCCTCTTTTTTCTATCTCATTACTTGCTGCCCAGCTACCCTACTCAATAAACGTATATCTCTATCTCCATGACATGTCTAACTATTCCCGTCTCCCTAACTTTGCCTCCCTTTTCTTCTAGTTTTGCTTTCTCACCTCCTTTTGCATCTCCAAGTTTTGCCTATTCACTCAAGTTCCAACAGCAGTGCATTTGCCCTGACCACTCTAGCCCATGTTCTCTTCCTCCTCTCAAGTGTATTGCTTATATCATGATTTGAGATATACTTATATAGTCTTATAATACTACATAATTATTTAATATGTCTGCATCTTCTCTTCCCATAGAAACTTTAAGTTTCTCAGAGCAGTGATGAAGTTGTTTACTTCTTTCTGTCTCATAGAATGCCATGAACCAAAAGTACCATGCATATAGTAGGGGTTCAATAAAATATTTGTTGAATGAATGAATGCCTATAAAATTCAGATAATTAGTATCAGAGTTCAAGAATAGAATCAGCTCTATTGAACCATAGAAGACTGTCACCCGAAACCGTTTCTTTCCATTTGTAATGTTATTTCTACACCATTTAGAGTTTCCTGTTTTAGGCAACTTTTATGGTGTGTTTCATTTCACTTTATTTCCCCTCTTCAGCACCTCCCTTCCAGTGACCCCTGCCCCACCCCCAAATTCTTACACATTTGGTTTATTTTAAATCTCCCACGATTCCATAGCTAGCATCCTGTGGTGGCTTCACTAGCCACTCTTACCCTAACTTCACCTTCTTTCATCAACCCAAGCACTCTCCTCTCTCACACCAAGTCCATATCCTCTACTTATCTGCCTACCTCCTCTTTTAAGTATAGCTTTATAACCATGCTAATGTTATTTCCCATGATAAGAAATACAAATGGCCATTACACACATGATAATGTGCCTAACACACTTAAAAAAAAATCATCTATTATTTTTCACTTTATGTTTCTGTGTGGGAACAAACTGTTGAAATCCTTACTTAAGGTATACTAAGCTGATCTTCTGTATACTAAGATAATCGAAAATGAATCTTGATGTGAATGGAAGGGGAGAGGGAGTGGGAAAGGGGAGGGTGGTGGGTGGGAGGGACGGTATGGGGGGGAAAGCCATTGTAACCCATGAGACGTACTTTGGAAATTTATATTCATTAAATAAAAGATAAAAAAAAAAAAAAAACCATACCATGAAAAAAAAAAAAATAAATAAAATAAAATCTACCCCATGCCAAAGTGCTCTGGGGCCTCTGAGCACATTCACAAAGAACACAGTGTGACTATAGGTGGTATTTTGTCAATTACAATTTCCTGAACTAAAAATAAATATAAATTTTGAATAGAAAAAAAAAAACAAATGTAAATAAGAACAAGAATATTCTTTCTGCCTAAGATTAAAAAGAATAATAGCCAATGCTAGTCAAAGTGTGAGAAAATGGGAACTCTCATACAGGAATGGTTGAAGTGTACACTGGTATAATATTTCTGGATTAGGATAAATCGTCAGGATTTTCATGTCTATGCTTCAGTTTCTAAGTTGAAATGCTATTTTCATTTACTTTGTTTTTATTTTGTTTACTTCATGCTTTGTACCTGCAGCCTTTAACTGGTTTTAGCCTCCTCCCTAGGGCAAAACATAAGGCTTGGGAAATTCAAACATACCTGTTATATACAAATAGAGTTAGTATTTTTTTAAGGTCTCCACTGGCCTGTAATGAAGACTGAAAACAGTAAGCAAACACAGAGACAATTTCTTTGTTTGAAGTGTAAAAGAGGATAGTACCTTAATTTGCTAATAGTCCTTCCATTCTACCAAGTGCTTATCCTGCTGTGTTCATATATGATTCTGAGAGGAAAGGGGTGGTGGTAGACAGTGTGTTTATCAGTAGAAGGAATGAATGGCTTGTGGGGATTATTTTCAATCCCAGCTTGTATCTCTCAGGCTTCTAGTCATTTTTTAGCCTGTCTAAATGAAAAGGAGACCCCATTCTAGAAAAGTTCCCCCCTCCCACCTTTCTCTAGGCCTTAAATCTCCATTATAAAACTGCTGCTAATGGGGTAGGCATTGTGCTGCATGTTAAGCTGCCACCTGTGATGCTGGCATCCCATATGGGCACCAGCCTGCCTGCTCCACTTCCGATCCAGCTCCCTGTTAATATGTTTGGGAAAGCAGTGGAAGACAGCCCAAGGGCTTGGGCCCCTGAACCCATGTGGGAGACCTGGATGGATTTCCCTGCTCCTGGCTTCAGCCTGGCCCAGCCCTGGCCATTGTAGCCATTTGGGGAGTGAACCAGTGAAAGAAAGATCTCTCTGTCTCCTCTCTCTCTCTCTCATTCTGCCTTTCAAATAAATAAATATATAAAATCTTTTTGAAAAAACTGCTGGTCAGAGACAAGACCATGAGTATTTTCAGCCTTCCCTGTTTTAGCCAGAAAGTTGTACCATAAATTACTCAGAACACATGAGACTTTGGGTGTCTTGCATTTATAACCAAATCTGTATTAGTGACAGATACTTTATAATTAAATTTTCTCTATACAATGCCTAATGCTTGTATTGGTCATAGTTTTCAAAGGGTTATCATATTGTACTTCTTTGAAAAAAACTCAAGAAGTTATGTGGAACCACTTAAACAAAACAAAGCAAAACATAAAATGTCTAAGATAGTGCCATTTTCCTCTATTCAGTTCTGTTAATAATGCCTTGATTCTGAGCTCTTACCATTCCCCACCTTTTAGAACAAGTTGTCAAAGAGGCCCCAGACAGGCCAGTGCTTAGAAAGGGGAAGTTCAATTACAGCTTACCATGAATCTGAAGAGGTATTGTCAAAATTCACTCGGGGCCAAAGTCCTACCTCATCCTGTAATTACAGAGGTCATAGACCAGAGGTTTATGTTACTTTTATTCCTTGGCTTGTTCCCTTTTTTATTGTTGCCTTCTCATCTCCCCTTCTTCCCATGGTTGCTTTCTAGATTTTCAGGTATTAAAAGCGTGAGCTCCATATATAGAGCAATTTGGCTGACATTTGTTTCTCTGGTAGGTGTGGAAGATGCCTTCAGTTTCACCTCCAAAGTCATGACTGTGTCACTGCACAAATTCTCCCCAGGATTTTTCCCAGGCAAGTTACCTGTGTGCTCCATGTTGTATTTCATAAATAGTACTGTAATTTCTCTATACATTTCTTATATGTTATATTTGAATACTTCCCTGCTGTTAATACCCTATTGGTGCTAGCCTAAGCAAAAATTTTACACAAATCACCTCCAGTGACAATAACACAAAGAATGACAACACTGTTTCTTTTTCCAGATGATTTTTATGGACTGTCAACAGACAGATCACTTATACTCACCATACCATCAAATAGCACATGCAACTCCTAACATCCTGATAATTTACAATGATATATTGATATTATGTCAACCTTCGAAGCATGAAAAGCCAAGCAAAGGAGTTCATCTCTTATTTTTATTTGACCCAGTAAGATGGAAACTAAGGTTTTCCACTTTCTTTATGGTTTTCCTACTTCCCCAACATTGTGGGTCATACTTACCTGTCCATATTATGTTTCTTAATCTCATTTCCTTAGAAACTATCACTAATTCAGCATTATTCTCTTAATTGACCTTTTTGAGCTTCTAATTCATATCAGAGAATCCTTTAAGCTGTCTAGGTCTCATGTTCTTAATAACTGATGACTGTGCTCCTCTCTGTTACAGGAACAGGTGATATGTGTGATGTTGGCCTGGGGAGGGGACGGTACTACAGTGTAAATGTGCCCATTCAGGATGGCATACAGGATGAGAAATATTACCACATCTGTGAAAGGTATGGCAGCAACTCTGAGACAGTAGCAAGTAGATTACGTTTCTGTAGGATTAGGTTGTCCCCAGTCTCACAGAATCCTTGTTTTTAAAGAGCAGTTTGGAAAAGAAAACCACTATATACCCAGACAGCTTTTACACACTGTTCATTATGTGTATTTTATCATGTAGCCATTCTCTGTTGGGGAGAACTGTGCTGCAGGTTCGATCTTACCTACTACCTAGTATTGGTTAGGGGCATCTCAAGAGCAGAACCATTAGACTGGCCTGCTAAATTCCATATCTGATAGTCTCTCCGCTAATGAAATTTGTGTGTGTAATTCTTTAACCTGGCAGGGTACATTTCAGTTTTCCATTTATGAAGACCTCTGTTCCCTCCACTGGTGTGAATATTAGAGAGCTGACTATAATTCTTTATCACATGTTCTTGTGTTCTATCCACCATGTTAAAATTGGAGTCAGAAACCTGTTCATTTATACTGTGGTTAAGAATCAAATGATAAACACTTGTAGGCAGACAGTTTGGTATCAATATGTAGATCACTGGAGTTGAAAAGTCCTACAGAATGGGAGTAGAAATTCACTGCTGACAATGGCATCAGAGACAGTAAGTCTGACTAGCCGCCAGTCAACACTACTGAGGGTAAGCAGTAGGGACTGACATTCTCTCGATCCCTCCCCACTCCCCTCAGCTTGCCTCCCATTTCTCCCAATCTCTGGTGGAAAACAGAGACTTCCCAAAGGAGCCTGCATGCACTGGCTATTGTCACTGGCAGTTGTATAAACAAAGTAGAACTATTAAAAAGTAAAAACTTTATGCTTCAAAGGTGCCTCTTAGCTCAAGAGATTTGGTAGGCCAAGTCATCATGCAGTCATTCAGCAGCACTAGCCTCTTCATGATTTTGATCATATCCCCTGGCCACCTCTGTATTTTCAGACTGAAAAGGCCCTTTTTTTTTTTTTTGAACCTGCCACTGATGGTTTAATTGCCCTTCTTTGTTCCCCTTAGGCTCTGTTCTGTCCTTGAGATGTGATCAGAGCTACTTATATAACTACCAATGAAGATGCCTTGTGGTTCTATGTAAAAGAATTGTTTTGTTTGTCTTCTTCTTCTTCTTTTTTTTTTTTTTTTTGGACAGGCAGAGTTAGATAGTGAGAGAGACAGAGAGAAAGGTCTTCCTTCCATTGGTTCACCCCACAAATGGCCGCTATGGCTGGCGCGCTGCACCGATCTGAAGCCAGGAGCCAGGTGCTTCCTCCTGGTCTCCCATGCGGGTGCAGGGCCCAAGCACTTGGGCCATCCTCCACTGCCTTCCCAGGCCACAGAAGAGAGCTGGACTGGAAGAGGAGCAACCAGGACAGAATCTGGCGCCCCAACCAGGACTAGAACCTGGGGTGCCGACGCCGTAGGCGGAGGATTAGCCTAGTGAGCCGCGGCGCCGGCCTTGTTTGTCTTCTAATCTCCTTCTTGACAGTACCCAACATTTTGTTGCTTTGTTGTTGTTGTTGTTGTTATAGCAGGAAACGAGCTTGTTCTCTTCAGTGTACTGTCCACTGGGTTTCCTAGAGCTCTTTCCTGGGTTTTCATTGAAAGGTCAGTACCCATCCTTCTGTGAGTCTAGTTTGTAATATCTGGCCCTCCCCAAATGGATCACCTTCCATGTGTCCCTATCGAAGCTCATCTGCCAATCATAAAGCCTCCTGAGAACTGCCTTTATCCTCCATCAGCTTGGTATTTCACTGCCTGGCAAAGCTGAGTATTATCTGCAGTCTTGAGGATTTCCCAATGCCCACCCCCAAAGAAGTCTACTACTTAACCTTCTTCATTCAGAAAAAAATGTCTTTTTCTCCCTTATATTGTCTCTGCCCCACTCCTTGCAGTAAACCACTTCCTCCTACATAACAAAAAGATTTAAATCCCATGATAATTCATGTTTAAAAACAGTCTTGGTATCAGCCTTAATTAGGAGCATTTAAAAAGTAAGTTTAGCCCCAAGGGAAAGATCTGTAGATTACACAAGATTTCCCTTTACTAGAAACCATTTTGCCACCCGCACCCTGGTAGATTGATGGCTTTTGCGTACAGGAGGCTAGCATTTATTAAAGATTATTCCAGCTTGCCTACTAAAGAACCAGACCTTCATCAGTTTATAGTTCCCAGGGCCCCCTTTGCCTGTGGAGTCACACCAGCAATCCACACAGTGCTCATCCAGAGTAACAGGTTCCAGGTTTTCATTAGAGGTACAATAAGTTTTTCGTTTGATTTCCTTAGAAGTCAGATCTGGTCAGGGCATTATGTGAAGGAACCTCTGATTCCAAGGGTGCCAGGAAGGCTTCCTGGTCCACGCATCTCTCCCATCTATTGGACTACCACCTGAAGTTCTTTTAAAAGGAAGAATACTTTTATTCTACAATTAGAAAAAAAACCTTAAAATGAAATTTTGGCACAACTAACTCTCCTCATCACCGCCCACGAGCCTTTCTTGATAGTACATTTAGAAAGGGTTACAGCATGAGCTCCCTGAGTATTCAAATGGCGCAGGAGAGGAAAAGGGATACAAAAAACAAAGAAACAAACACAAAACAATCTTCAACAACTACACAGTTTTGCAGAAGGCCAGCCCTGCTACTGTGTCACTCAGTCCCAGTCATTATGCTTTTGACTACTTCTAGTGTGTGGCTTGGAACCAAGGTCTCTTGCACATTTGCCATTATTACCTCTGACTCATCTTCATCCCTCAAAAGATGCATTAGACATAGAACGGGCTTCCTCTTCTTCAAACATCGTTCAGTATATCTACTGTCTCCTTTCATCCATTTTGTTCAGTGATCCAACTAGTTCTCTGGCTCACTCCTTGTGATATATAAAGGACCTCTTTGTGCTGACTCACAAGATGCTCTCATTTTTGTTTGCACCCAATTTCTAGTTTGTTTCCTCAATGTGAAATTCACTTACACTATTTTTTCTTTTTTCCTCCTTCCTTCCCCCTTTCCTTCCTTCTTTCCTCTTCTTCCCTTCCTCCCTCCCTTTCTCCTTTTTTTATTTAAATAAGGAGGATTCTTCTCCTTGCTAGAGCCTTTTTTACTTTGCCAGCTTTTCAGGAAAGAACTTGACAGTTTTATCTTTTTTAAAAAAAAAGATTTATTTATTTACTGGAAAGAGTTACCCAGAGAGAGAAGCAGAGGCAGAGAGAGAGAGAGGTCCTCCATCCACTGGTTCACTCCCCAATTGGCCACACACGGTTTTATCTTAAAGTTGGACATTACCCGCCGGCACCGCGGCTCACTAGGCTAATCCTCTGCCTTGCGGTGCTGGCACACCGGGTTCTAGTCCCGGTCGGGGCACCGGATTCTGTCCTGGTTGCCCCTCTTCCAGGCCAGCTCTCTGCTGTGGCCCGGGAGTGCAGTGGAGGATGGCCCAAGTGCTTGGGCCCTGCACGCCATGGGAGACCAGGAGAAGCACCTGGCTCCTGGCTTTGGATCAGCGCGGTGCGCCGGCCGCAGCGCGCCAGCCGTGGCGGCCATTGGAGGGTGAACCAACGGCAAAGGAAGACCTTTCTGTCTCTCTCTCTCTCACTATCCACTCTGCCTGTCAAAAAAAAAAAATGGACATTACCTCACCCTCTTTATAAGAAAAATTGACCGAGCTTCTTTTTATAATAGAGTGGATATGAAATCTTTACATTAACATATTCTTTTTTTTTTGACAGGCAGAGTGGACAGTGAGAGAGAGAGACAGAGAGAAAGGTCTTCCTTTGCCGTTGGTTCACCCCCCAATGGCTGCCTCGGCCCGCGCGCTGCGGCCGGCGCACCACGCTGATCCAAAGCCAGGAGCCAGGTACTTCTCCTGGTCTCCCATGGGGTGCAGGGCCCAAGTACTTGGGCCATCCTCCACTGCACTCCCGGGCCACAGCAGAGAGCTGGCCTGGAAGAGGAGCAACCAGGACAGAATCCGGTGCCCCAACCGGGACTAGAACCCGGTGTGCCGGCACCGCAAGGCGGAGGATTAGCCTAGTGAGCCGCGGCGCTGGCCTACATTAACATATTCTAACACCAAAAGACCTTGGGTTCCATTTTCTGTGAATGATATTTTTGTAGTTAGATCTCCTTAGGTCATTCAATACTAATGGTGAGGGTCACTATTCCCACAAGCATTCCATAATTTCAGTGGCAGCTACTAGATTCAGTATTACAAGTAGAACCCTGTTGTAATAGCATAAAGAAACATCAACATTGCTCCTGTAAGCACACCTCCCCTTCAAATGGAAGCTTATTGCTTAGAGATCATAGAGATATGTTCTTGAATTAAGTGTAGAAGCACCAACCTCACCCACCCACCTCCATGTCCCCCTCCCCCACCTACCTATAAAGTTTGGTGGTAGAAGGAAGCTATTCTGCCAAAGGGAGGGTTTGTTTCCAAGTTTTGTCATCTGAAAAAGAAGACACCAGGTGTTTTCAAAAAAGTCATGGAAAATGGATATTATGAAAAAAACTATGCATGAATTTCAAATTTTTATACCATAATAAATTTTATGTTTTAATTCTATTTTTCCACCAACTTTCTGAAGTGCCCATTTATTGCTCTGCCTATGTTTAACCTGTTTATTTTCTAATTATATTTGAATGCAATGTTTCATCTATTCTCTGGAACACTGTATTGATGACACTGGGAGCATTTATAGTTAAGGATTGTGATACAGCACCATAAAAAGTACCTCCTTACTGTTGGTCCAAGAGAGGTTTTGATAAATAGTAGGGCTCCACCCTGAAATCTCAAATCTTGTAGGACAATCCATGCTACCTGCCACTGTGAACTGCCGAGATACACATGGAGTTTAAATGAAGAAATGCAGAGTAGCAGTTATATTTCGTATTTTGTATCCTGCCTATCATTTTATAGCCCTAGCAGCCAAAACATATTCTTTACTAAATATCTGATCACTGAATACCATAAGAAAACAATATTTCTGAGGCTTATAATATGTATGGATACATATACTGAAA